GCATTTATTATTTTCTTCTACAAAGGTAAACTTATCCATTAAAGCCGACACCACAGCCTCCCAGGAGATGGCCCACCCCCCTGCAGCACACAGCAGATGACTCATACCCTAAGCTCTATGTTTCCCTGAGTCTGTGAAGAGAGGGGGTGTCCTTTTCCTCCAATCAGCTCTCAGATGTTTTGGAGCTCTGTGCTCTAGTTCTGCAGTGTGTGTGTGTGTGTGTGTGTTACATCAGTTCCATGGCCCCTGTTTTCTGCTGCTGAGAGATGCTTTGTAAGATGGCTGTTTTCGAAGACTGTAGAGAAGGAAGTGTTGCAGATAAACAGGTACAAGTAATGTAGGAAGATTAATTTAATTTCTGTGTATCACCCGAGATTTGTCCTTTCACTGGGTATAGTAAGGGATTACAAGCACTTTAGAAATTGTCAGTAGAAGAATACAGAACACAAATGTAATATCTCTATTAACTTACTGTACATGTTCTCTTTTTTAGACCCTACAATAACCTGTGAAGCTATATTTTCCAGTTATCCACAGAGTAGGGTATTTGCCATTTACATTCTGAAAGTAATCGGCAGGCACGATTAATTCTCTGACATTCAATCCTACCAGCATAAAAAGCAATTGACCACATAACTCCAATAAAAGTGAAAAAAATAACCCTTTCTATGACAAACATTGTTTATGGGTTTCCTATACTTCTACCAGTCATACATGTTTAGGTGAATTTAAACAATAAAGACATGTATGGTTAACCCTCCTCCTCAGATTACAAAAATGGGCAGATTTGATTTAGAATAAAAATTAAGAAATCATGTTTCTCCCGATAAATTAGGTGCATTCCTTCCTGTCACTCAATCAGGCATGATAATGTAATAGTGAATTGTAGGTACAGAGACAGCATGGCTCCCACTGACTCCCAAAGATGTCAAATCGGAACAGGTACGATCTTTATATCTGGTTTAGGATATCGCACATTTTCATATTGCTAAAGATCTGTGCTATTCCTTATGCTTAACGTATATGTAAACTCTCGCCTTGTAAAACAAGCTGTTCAGTTTAAAATAGAAATGAAAGGCAAAGCATTTGTGTATAGATATAAAAGACATTATAAATACCTTTTTTCCCCCCCCTGTTTTATAAGTGATCACATAGCCTCTAAGCTCCATATGCAGTTGAGAACAGAGGGTGGGGGGGGAGGGAAACCAGCAGAACACTGAACGTCCCAGTGAAAAGTTGGATCACTGGAGGAGAGCACACATAGTTCCCAGCATAGTTAGAGGACCATGCTGTGCTCTCCTGCCTAGTGTGGTCAATTTTTAATAGGGTGTGACTGGCAGGAACCCCAGGGATTTCACACAAAGGAAGCAATACAAGAAAACAGGATACCTTTTCATACAGGTACATGGTACAGCAGGCACATGTCATGAATATTAAATGTTGGGTTTAAGTACTCTTTAAGGTGCAATATGTTGCTTAAATGGGGCACGGCTCATGGCTTTAGCAATGATGTGTACAGCGTGTGGATACAGTTACCCCATAATTCATGCATTGCATGTAGATTACGTCTAAACTGCTATTTTATCCATATGTCTGGACACTTACTAATATTGAAAAAAGAATTAACATACTACAAGCCACTGGCTATGTGCCTGAATGAATTCTTCTGAGTTGAGATCAGCTCTTTAGTATCAGGGTAGAAGAAATGATGCAACTTTTCCAACTTTTAACTCTCTACATATTTTACATAAACATGTGGTCATAAATGTACATATATTAAAGTATATGTACTCACGTAAGTGTTCTGGTTACTTAATTTAATTTTTTAAGGCTATGATGGATTTTAGTAAATAGTGACATCTGACCTATCATACATACAAAGCAAAAATGCATTTTTCTGTTCAGCTGTTTGGCATCACAATTCTTCTTCTTTTCAAGCTGTAGCAAGACATGTATTCTACTAGTAAAGGCTGTAGCATTATCTTCCAGCGTTAACCCCCTATTCCATTTTCTCTGCTTTTTCCAATTTCTGACAATTTGCTAAACACACAGATCGCAGTAACAGTTTAACTATAACTGCAGTCAAAATTTACTCTTCAGTATTCACAGTTTATAATAAAAGTAAAAACAATTACATGTATTCTACATAGCAGCATAAAGAACAACATTGGTCTGCCAAGTACAGTAACCTCTCCAGCTTTCACTTGAATAGATATAGCTCTGCAAATTACTACAGTTACCTAAACTTTCACATTGGTTTCTGGTTTACAGAATAAGCTCAATGATGTCAACACTGATGTTACAGTACCAAGTAATAACAGATTAGCCCAAACTTCCTGTCATTAAAGAGGAGTTTGGTATTTTCAGTACAAAGTTTTGTAATTTGTTGCCACTTTCAAATGGCTAGAACAATGCTTGATAAGATGGTACTAGTATACAAGTAGTGTGGCTTCCCAAGGTGCAACAAGACAACATCAAATTGGCAGTATTACAATCCCCTGCCCCCTTTCTTGTGATTTTTGAGACATTTCCTAAGAGAAACAAGCAATATCTAGGACTTTACATAACATACATAGTAGGGAAACATGTTGACTGCCGTACCGAAAATAGTTCTTTCTACTCTTGATCCTTCAAATTTACAAAAGCTGCAAAAAAAAGCATATAAAATATAAATATGCTTACAATATTACTAACTCACATGAATGCAAGTATGGTATACTACACAATTACAAAAGGATAGTAGACAAAAATACTGATGCCAGAGACAGCTTGTCAAATAGCATTTTCAGAAGAAATTAGTAACAGCAGACTATACATTCCAGGTATAGCTTTTCTTAAAATAAATATAAGGATTACATTATTCTGATAAAATAGGTGAACATGTATTCTGTACAACCCAATGTTAGCGGTGGGAGCGGGTACCTGTCAAAATCGCGTACCCGCTCCTTAAAGGTGCCAGTTTCCTCACAGGGAGTGAGGGACCAGCAGAACTTAAAGCACAAATTCCCCTTTTGGGTGGAGCTCCGCTTTAAGTTTCAATTGAGTTTTCTGCAGCTACCTTCAGGTGACTGGAAACTGGCATAAAAAGATTGCTGGTGGGACATCCCCCAATATAACCCCTTCCTCTCCCAGCTATACTTAGCTGTGTAGCAAGAAACAGGGACGTCAATAAAACAGGAAGGAAGAACCTGTGTCCTGTACTGTGCTTCAAGAAACCGAGTATACTGGTAAGTCAAAACTCTTATTTCCACTTTTACAGCAAACTAGGATAACATCTATTTATATTTGTTGCATGTCCTCATTCACATAGCATAACTTAAAAATAAATATTTAATAATTGTAGCTTGCCTTTTATTTCCATACTGTATTTTGGAACCTCCAGGAAGAAAAAAAAAAAAACAAGGTAGTTATTCTTGTTTGTGAGAGGTCTGGATTGCTGTGTTTGCTGCAATTTACTGTTTGTACTGTGCATGCAAATCTTCATCATCAAGTGTAACTAGATTTGAACACCGTCTGTCCTAACAAAGGGTTAAAAATGTGGAATCCATGTAGAATCTGGGACAGATTCAGTCTAACATTGTTCAAAAAAACTTGCAGTCAGCCATGACACATCCTGAAAGGTTAAATATATTTCTAAAAGAAAAAAATTTAGGTAGGCTGTATAAATGTGAACACATAAAACACATACTTTATTGTGGGGGTTTTCTCACATTTGACTGCAAAAGTGGAAATATGCTTTAAGACAACCTTGTCCATATTCAACACTAACAAGGGCTCCTTACAGGACAAGGTGAGTAATTCATGGATCCTCCCTGCAGAGGTAATAAAAACAAGAAAAAACACCTTGCAAGCGAGGCCAGGCATAGAAATATAACTAATAGGCTAAAAGGCAGTTTGTGAAGAGTGCAGAGAACAAGAGGGGGGCGTGGCGACTGCACTGGAAGATGGCTGCTAATTGAGGCAGATCTGCTCCACAACTGGGTAGATCGCACAGCACAAGGGCATGCTGACACCCCCGTGCCCATCCACCATCCCTCTTACTTACTGGGGACACCTCAAAATGCCTCGATGGCAAAAAGAAACTAGAGGGATTTTTCCCTCCTCTCCCTCAGATGCTCCAGCAAGATGGCGGCGGCCGCCGCTCCTCAAAACAGGCCACACCGCACACTAAGCCTGTTACACACAGCCATCACAGCACGGAGATGGATGGACAGTGTAATCCAGTGGAATCCTTGGGCTCTGGTGCCTCTTCACCCTCCGCTTGTAGTCCAGCCAAGTCCAGACTGCACATGGAAGAGGATGAGGAACCACTCACCCACATGGGCACGGAGATAGGCACATTTCAAACTACTTCTCCCCCTCCTTTGGATCGCCCGGACCCAATAGCAAACTTCCCTACAACAGGTCAGCCGGAGTCAGACTTCACATTGAAAGATATGCTCCTATCCCATAGAGCATCGCTACAAACTGACATGCTTTCCTGCAGCCATAGTTTTAAATGGGAACTCCGCGAGGGGGGCAGACTGAGGACAAAATGGGAGAATACACCACTTCTTGCTGCTCACAGTGCTCACGAAGATAATATTCAGTGGCTTAAAATGAAAATGGCTGATATAGAGGACAGATCCCGAAGAAATAACATAAAGATAAGCCGGATCCCTGAATCTGCCCAGCAAGCCCAACTGGTTCATTATATACAGGATCTATTTAAATCTGTGGCTTCTTCCCTGACAACAGAAGACCTCACAATAGACAGGATACAAAGAACACCGAAACCAGCCCATCTACCCCAGTCAATCCCGAGGGATGTGTTTCTCAGAGTACACTTCTTCCAGGCCAAGGAAAAGGTCATGCATGCTTTCCGCCATTTAGAATATTTACAGGAGAAATTTACCAAGCTACAACTTCTTCCTGGGAAACAAAGAAACACAGTGCCTCTAAGTGTGTACTGTGAAGGTATTTAATAGAAAGATAAGTAATAACTCACATCTTAGAATTTAAAAACAGGCTCTTTCGTCAGCCCTGCCTGATGAAAGAGTGCACCTGGATGCCTCTCATCCTGCATATGCTCAGAAATGTGTCACATTTTGATGACGTCAGATGCCACATGTGCTGATCCCAGACATCTTGGAGACTCTGCCAGGCTCCACCATCCATGCTGCATATGTACAGCACCATCTGCTGGCAGAAACCTTGGAGATTCCACCAGGCTTACCATCCATGTTGCACATGCACAGCACCACTTGCTGACAGACTCAATCGATCTCCTCTCTGGATCAGACACACAACAACTGGCTACAGACATCCCACCCTCTTACCCATGAGCCTGTTTTTAAATTCTAAGATGTGAGTTACTACTTATCTTTCTATTAAATACCTTCACAGTACACACTTAGAGGCGCTGTGTTTTTTTTGTTTCCCTTTATGTTATGCTTCGCTCCTACGCAGCTTGCCCTTAGTGCCTACCAGACTACCTTCACCCCTGCCCATTTGGAACTCACCAACTCCTATACTCTTCACCCCTTGCAGTTGGTGCTACATACCGAAAAAATTACGAAGCTGATTTCAAATGCTTATTGATGTCTTTCTATATACCCAAATGCTTACCACCCTTTCTTACTGGCACCAGTCTCCTCCCTCATCACCTGCATGAGCTCACTACCTTACTTTACCTCGCAGAGGAATACCTATCATGCAGCCTTAAGCTATGCCTACGTCTTATCACTCCCTCTCTTTCCTCAAATGGGATTTAAGGTAGTCTCACTTAATGTTAGAAGCCTGAATCACCCTGCAAAAAGATCCTCGATGTGGAAAGAAGCCTCCACCCTCCATGCTGAAATACGCTGTGTACAAGAGACTCACTTTCATGCCCTCCACGGCCCAAGATGCAGCCATAAAACATTTCCTCATATCTTCTGGGCTTTGGCCTCCTAAAAAAACGAGGAGTACTGGTGGCAGTGAAGAATTCTCTATCCTTCAGCTGTAAGGACTCAATTCTAGATCTGCAAGGCAGGTATATTATCCTGTGAATATAAAAGATGCGGCGCTATATCACAACTGTAATTATGCTGAAACATCCAAGGTATATGTGATGATTAGGTGACTAATAAGAAACCACAAATATTCTGTCACAAACAGAGTGACATGCAGTGCAAAACAGTCTTAGTGACAATCCCTCTCCTTCAAAAGGTGCTTCTTCCACGCGGTGATAGTGAAAAGGTAAAGCTGTGCACTCACCAGATGCACAGTTTAACTGCGCATTTAAAGATGAACTCTTTTCCAAATCCACCGATTATTTCTTAAAGGTCAGGTCAGGCCAGATATTCCTTCCCCTGTTGTATTGCTGACAATCCACGGTCTCTCCTTTAGGTGGCTCTATAGGTGATAAGTGACTCACCAAGGGCCACAAACAAAGGAGACCAATAGCGTGATACCGTTTCAAAAAGGTTTGGATTTTATTTCCATACAGTATACAGGTAAAGGGAAAAAAACACACTGACCATGAGGTGAATTTAAAAGATGGCCGCCGGGACCTCCATTGTGCCGGCGGCAGAGAGATAGTGACGCTGTAGCTCCTCCTCCTGACGCGTTTCGTGCTAGTCGCACATCATCAAAGGGGAAAGCTTCAGCGTCTGTTTCTGACAGCGTCCATTAAATATCGTAAATGGCGCATGCGCAGTACGGATGCGCCATTTTTCATTAGAGATATGTCCCCGTGTCAGGCGCCATTTTGTCAAAGACCAATCGCATCTCACATGCGCGGGTGCCATATTTGAGTTACAAGTGAGTGTCACTAAATCACCAGGGAAACTAAATATACAGAAGAGGCATCCACAAATACAAAAATTATTTAATGAGGAGCACCCAGGACCGAATAAGTAATAAACCCACTGGTTTAAATTGGGTTTTACAAATACCGCCGCAGACCAACCACTGCGCATGTGCGGGATCCCATTATAAGAATATGAAGATTTATATAGATAATAGCTCCACATAAACGCATACAAACCTCATTAATAGTGAACTTGATGATAATAGTGGCACCCACATTGTTACAAGATAAAATTGATATAAATTAATAAATAAATGAATTCAATACTATCCAAAAAAACGCATGTCAGAATAAGTATCCATTCATAAAACATGTCATGTTATACACAATAAAATACACAAATCTTTAATATAAAATATACTAAATGCCATAAAACATATTTTTAAACCCTTATTCTCAAATTATTGTTTGCCTAAAAATTATATATTTATAAAAATTGCAATGACCAAAACGCATCCAAACACTATTAAAAGTAATATATAGGGGGGGGCGCTCGTGAGCAGCAGCCAGGATGGCTGCCTTCTAAATCTGTGCTTTGGCCGCCGGACACATCGGCCGATTTTCGCCCTCCAGGGGGGGTCCCCCTGTTTACTCACTGGCCCCCTGTCTCCCTGGTGCCCTGATGGGCAAAAAAAAAACGCCGGCCGCCCGTGCCTCCAGCTCCCGGGGGGCCGTTCGGAGGTTTGCGGCCTACCCGCCGGAGATCGCGGCTGAAGCCGGGGCCTCGATTTTGGGCCGGCCGCCGAACACTTCCAGGACCCCGGCCGCGGATTCGCGGCTCCCGCCGGAGACCTTAAATGGAGCCCCAGCCGCAATTTTGGGTCCCATGCCATCACCATCTGCAGGTGGGTCGGATCATGGCAGTGTGGAGGACCCGTCCCAGCAGTCTCCCATGCCATTGGAGCCATCCCAGCAGTCTCCCATGCCATCTCTGCGGGATGCTGAGCTCCTGCGCCGCTTCCAGTTTATGTTACAATCAGAATTGTCCTCCGCTACCTCCAAGCTGGCCGACCGTCTCTCACGGGAAATTCGGGAGTTGGGCAGTCGGACGAACGACCTTGAAGATAAAATGGATGCTGCGGCTACGGTCCTTGAAAATCACGAGCAGGATTTATGCGACCTCAAGAAAGAATTGGCGGACGCGCTGCTACGGCTTGAGGATTTTGAAAATCGTTCCCGCCGTGGCAATTTGCGGTTAAGGGGTATCCCGGAAACAGTTACGGATCTTACCTCCACTGCTACTGCTCTGTTCCAGGAGCTGATGTCCGCCATTCCCATTGACCGTCTTGAATTTGATCGCATACATCGTGCATTGGGCCTCAGAAGACCGGATGGGCCCCCCGAGAGACATTATCATCAAGTTCACTTATTACCGCACTAAGGAAACCATCCTCTTGGCGGCCAGAAATAAACCTGATCTCAGCTTCCAGGGGCATCGCTATCAGCTCTTCGCGGACCTCTCCCAGACCACTCTTCAAAAGCGCCGCCAGTTGAAGCCCTTTACTTCGGGTCCTGGTGAAACATAGTATTAAATACGCCTGGGGCTTTCCGTTCCGCCTCACCTTCACCTACCAGGGCCGTAGTCACTCTGTGGCTACACCAGAGGAGGCTCACTCTCTCCTGGAATCCTTACACCTTCTTTCGCCGGAGGCTGCGGATCGGAGCCCAGTTCATTCATCTGGATCCCCGGCGGGCCGCTTCCTCCGAGCTGCATCTGGGAGCGGTCGTCCAATAGGAAGAGGGCCCTGTCTCAGACCCCTTCGCGATCAAGTCCTTCCTGTTCTTCTCCGGGCTGAAGATGCGTCCTGGATTTTCCATGTATCATCTCACCGATGAACTCTCTGACGGGACCGTGAGTTTGGCCCTTGGGGCTCCCCCAGTTTGTTTGCGTTCCGGGTTGATACTGCTCCTCGGGCTCCGGGGTGGGAGGTTGACCCGGTGGGTCTGGTTGGGTGGAAGGGGATTGGCCCCTATGGTTCTCCAGGTTTCTATGGGGAGGTTATCGCGGAGGTCCCTGCTCCTGGGACTTTTAGTTTTATTAAGTTTTACTACATTATATTATGTTTATTACCTTTTTGCCCTCTGAGGGCTTCTGTTTTGATGTTTCCATTTGCAGCCATGTGTCCAGGGTAGAGTTACCCCTAACTGTATCCTTCATGTGTAGGATGCACGTCACCATTGGTGTGACACAATTGCACTGTTATGTATACTTTTTGTGTCTTTTTCCTTTTTTCTTTCTTTGTACTTTTCTTTTTCTGTTTTTTTTTTTTTTTGTTTTCTGCAGGGTTCCGGGACGCCATGGTCCGATTGCCATTGGGAGTGGAGATTGCTGGCTGCTTTGGGCTTTTTTCTGCTGAGCGTGTTGCGTTGATACCGCCATGGCCTCGCCCCTTTTGAAAATACATTCACAAAATGTTCAAGGCTTCAATTCGCCTCAGAAACGGGCTAAAGTTTTTCATCACCTCAAATCGCAACAAATTGATGTGGTATGTCTACAGGAGACCAGGTTTTCTCAGTCCTCCGCTCCACGTTATCTTTCACATCGCTATCCCATCTTTTACACGGCCTCGGCTCCTGAGAAGCGTCGGGGTGTTCTGATAGCTTTTAAACGCAATCTCCCCTTTGTCTGTTCTAGGCATATAGCGGACCCCACGGGCAGGTATTTGCTTCTGCAAGGCACCCTCTGGGACCAGGAGGTTACCTTTGTCTCTTACTACGTGCCTAACAGTTTCCAGCATAAATTCTTTTCGCATCTTTGCACCATTATTTCTCGACACTCTAAGGGTCTTCTTCTTGTTATGGGGGATTCGAATGTTACCTTGGATTCCACATTGGATAGGCGCTACGCACGGGGAGCGACCCCCTCTCATGACTTGGTGCTAGAGGAACGTATGCGCTCTCTTTTACGGACGGCGGGGCTAGCGGACGTCTGGAGGGAACTTCATCCAACTGAACGCGACTTTACGTTCTATTCCAATCCTCATGACAGTTTTTGTAGAATTGATCATATATTCATGCAGGTCCAGCAGCTCCCCTCGGTCCGGCGGATAACTATTCCCTCCTCACCCTGGTCAGATCATGATCCCTTGGTACTCCTCCTTGCCCTTTCTGGGTCAGAACGGCGCCCTTTTCATTGGCGCATCAATGACTCTTTGCTGACCACTCAGGCTACCTGCCAACAAATAGAATTCTTTTTACGAACATACTTTGCGGAAAATTCGGGATCGGTCTCTTCAGCAGTGCCCCTTTGGGAAGCGCATAAGGCCACGATGCGGGGTTATGTTATACAGCTGGCTGCAGTCCGGAAGCGGGAGCGGGAACGCCGACTCTTGGAGCTTCATTCTCTCCTGGCCTCTGCGGATGCGCGTTGGAAGTCATCTCCATCCGTGGCCCATAAACGCTCTCGGGACGCTCTGGCGACAGAATTGGACCTCCTCGCCTCTTCGGAGGCGGAACGGGCCCTGCGTTGGACCAGACATAAATTTTACTCC